GGCAGAATAAATGAGAATTAGCCCATTGGTAGTAAAGGCTTTTAATCCTAAAGATGTAGACTCACCTTTTACCGTAGTTTTAATTATCCTACTTGCCCAGATGGTGGTATGTTTTTTCAACAAAAGTGACCTCTATATATTGCAACAATTTATTTGAATGCCATTCTTATGTATTTTTAACAAATAACAGCACTACTCACTCTCTTATGTTTTTGATTCCTTTTACTACTTATCATCTTCTTTATTTGAAACAGATTTTTAACAGATAATCTTGGTCTTACAACAATATCTTGCTTGCATTTTATTCAAATAATTCTTAAAAACAGCTTAAAAAGCCGTTTGGAATAACATCAAGCTTGCCATCAATCAAACGAAAAAATTCCGCTGGCGGTTGTATAAACATCAGATCAAGTCTGATGTCTTCAAGGATTTCAGAGTGAACCATAAAAAACTCCATTAACTTCTGACAAAGAATGCAAATTAATCACAACATGGGGTGAAATGAAATTAAAGGCTCTTTTCTAATCAATGACAAGGCAGGATGAAATATTTGTTACTCTCTCTGCACCCAGACTGCCTAGGATGTTTGCACTTCCTTTGCAAAGCCCCAAATGTAAGGTGTGACTACAGATTCACCCACAGTCGCTGCTTAGCCCTCCCATCACCCCCCCAGAGCTATCTGCTTACAAGTCGTGGAGATTCACAAAACACACTAATCATCTGAATCTCAGGTGCATCCAATTTGTTATTCACACTCTCCCATGCCAGTGAAAAGCCTGGCGCAGACAGATGCACCAGGAACCCTAAATGACAGTTTGGCCTCCGGAAGTATGATCACTACAGCAAAATCTAGTACAGCCTCCAGGTGAAATGTCTGGAGCTCCATATGGAGCAGGGAAAATTAACAACAAGATGAAAATCACTGCAGCAGCGGGGAGTCGGAATTTTTGAAAAAAAAAATTTAAAGATGAAGAAAGAGAAGTAATAAATTAATGGGGTGTGAAAACATTCAAAGCTTTACAATACCAGGGGCACTATTTGCTCAGATTTTTTTTTTCCTTTTTTTAACTTCAGGTCATTTTGATGTAATTTATTAACCAAGATCAGGAAATATCGCCAAAAGAAGAACAACATTTTTATACATGCAAAAGTACTTTAAATACATTTGTATCTGTATTATCTTACTTTCCTGTGGCATCTTGCTTACCAAATTTCCAAATGCCAGAGCTGGCGCATCCCCTGAGAAGTCTCCTTAATGGATTGACTATCATCCTAATGCAGGGAACTACTGTAAAGTTTGAATGAGGGATGATGATTTTTAGCATGCAATCTTTTTTATTTCTCCTAAATTATGGTGTCATTAAACAAACCATTGCCCACCATCATGTTTTTTAAGTCAACTGAATTCAGATCTACATGATTAACTACACACAGCTCCAGTCCTTGTCCAGACCTGCACATCTTACCAGATTACTATTAAAGCTAAATTGTTCAAGAAATTGAGATACTCTCTGCTTGCAGGATGCTTAAAACACAATTTTTCATTGTCCTATTGCAGAATAAGCGTCCCAGGCACCCAGAACCGAATGGTACTGGGGTCAGTTAGAGCTCTGGGGCCCTCTGGTCCTCCTGTCACTCTGCTAAACACATGGTAAGAAAGCACAAGGGCTCTGGGGAATGGTCTTGTCATCGCCTACAATGGCACACCCCTCCCATGTTCAGAACTTTTCATCTACACAAGAGGCCTCTCTAGGGCAGAGGAGACAAACCAAGAGAAGTGAAAGACCTGGTGGGGCTGAGGGCGAAGAGCAGTGGTACAAATAGCCAACCAAGTTCAGAGTACACAGAGCCAGTCCTTCGGTCTGTTGCCTGCAACTCCTAGACCCAGCTGTACCCATTCATCACTGAGGCAATGGGTGCTGCCTTTCTGAGCCTGTCTGCTCTTCTGGAGTCAGGGAGTAACGGTCCCTGCAGGGTGGGTGCCCAGCCAGTCAGATACCAGAAAGTGTCTGGACTCCATGTGGAAAAGTGCTAGAAGATGAACCTAAGACATCGCCATTCCTAGTATAAGCTACAGTAATAAGACTGCATTTTTAGTGGCTCTTTGCCCTTTTTTCCTATAGCATCCTGCACTGTATGCCAATGAGGCTATGCAACTTTAAGACCTAAAGGAAATGAAAATGGATAGTATTTTCAAATACCAAATAAAAACCCAACCCACAAAACAATGAAATTCATATAAAATGATTATCTCAGCAAAAATCCAGTCCTTTAACCTTTATGTTGGTCCCACGGACTCTCCTAGATATCTTCCCAGCACCCCTCCCTTGGCTGCATCCCCACTGGGTATACATGGTGTCACCAGCAGGAAGAGGCGCTGCTAATGACGCTGTCAGCAGCACTGACGCTGGGCCGGGGGAAGGAAGAGTCTGAAGTGGCCTCTCCTCCCCACTGTCACCTCTGCTCACTGGATGCTGGGCGCCAGTTGCGGCTGGCACGTTGCTGAGCACATCCTTTTGCAACCTTCAGACTGAAGATCAGAAGTTTGTGTTACAGCCCAACATCAAGGCCAGTGGGGTGGCCCTTTGTACTTTTCTGAGTGGTTTTATATCCTTCTCATTTGATCTGCAGACTTCCTTTAATCAGATAGGAAAGGGGTAACAAATGGGAGGCGGTCCCCAGCTCGATAAATAGAACGCTGCTTTGACTCTATGGCTGCTCTGGAAAGAAGTGAGTTTCCTATCTCTGGGGGTATTCAAGCACAGTGTGGATGTTTGCTTTTCAGATATTGTAGAGAGGTTTGACTCAATGATGTCTAAGATCCCCTCCAATCCTGAGACTACTCCATTTGGGATCCAATGGCACCAAACCACCTGCAGTTCCATAGTGAGAAACCAGCCATTCTGCTTGCCCAATATATGAGGGGAGGCTATCTCAGAGTGGGTGGGGGTTCCAATGAGGTAATACGGGCCAAAGAGAAGGTATTATTTAATAATCCAGTCTCTGTGACACTATAAAAATAAACACTTTTCTTCAAGTGCTTTGAGGGCAAAAGAGAGGGGGCACAAAAGGAATTTATCAAGTACTCTTTCTCCACCTTCAGTCTACAGCATAAAGCCTGTAAAATAAATACCAACTCTATCAAAAGTCATTATTGATTCTAGCAATGAAGCACACAAACTTCTGTTGAAAAATCTGGGAAATAGGCCTGATGGTATCAAAGCTGCTTCTATTATTTGAAGCAAAAGTCCCAATTTGGTGGCAATATTCTACTGTGATTCAAGGAGCACAGCTCCCCTCACCCTACCCCCTCCCCCCACTCTGGCATAAAGGTTATTGCTAACTAAGGAGTTCAGCACATTAGAATTTTCCAACTTCCACTTGACTGATCAAGTAAACATATACTTACTTAGACATTCAGGAAAACAGTATTGCAAGGGTATACAGCCTCCTCCCAACTCTGACCAGAGCTTTCAAATGCTTCATTGGTCACATGCAATGGCAACTCGTTTCTTAGACCTATCACCCAGTCTCACCGATTAATTACCTGAGACATTTGGTATCTCAAGAGTAGAGCTACAGTCTCAATTTGGCATTTTTATTAGATTACTTACAAGTTTTCTACTACGACTTGTCTGAGATAGTGTATATGACCTCTTGTCTTGATTTAGTACAAAATTTTAGGGGACTTCACAAATTGGCCAAACAGTGAATTGTTTAAAAATTAGTGACACAATAAGAAGCTTACCGAGATAAATATTCTAATGAGCTATAAATCCTGAAAATGTGATTTTAATTTGATGGGCTACCTAGAGCTCTATACACTACAATCTCACCAAATGGGACACGCATGCCAACAATCGTGACATTTCAGACTTTCTCTTTAAGGAAAAGATTATGTTTAAACAAAGAAGCCTATAAATGTGAAAAGTGAGACTAACATTCTTGAACCTAACAGCTTCTCTTCGACTTCTCTAATGGCTTTAACTGTAAAAGAAAAAGAATACAAAACAGACATTTCAGCAAGTGAAGGGTCTTTAAATGTCTACATGGGTACCAGGAGAATTTGCTTAAAACCACTTAAAAAGACGGTAGAGAGAATGAATCCCATCCTATTATTCAATAACCATGTTTGTGATGCATCTGCATAATCTAACCATGCATAAATTAGTATGTGTAATACAACACTTATTTGCATAATAATAGCAAGTTAATAGATGCTTAAAGAGCAGAGACCAACACCACCTTTAAATCAGACATGCCTCCAGGCACTTTGGCCTGTACAGACCAAGATGCCAGAAAAACAGTGAGCAGCAACCAGAGGAAAACAGTCAAACCATTCATTTTTCATCCCTCTAGACATTTCACTTATTTCTCCACATACACTGGGGAATCATTTTCAAACCACAAAATAGCTTTATATTTTAAGTGCTAGCACTCATCTTTAATAAAAATCTTAAAGAAATTTAAAGGTTATCACCAGCAATGGTAATATAATGGATAGTTTGTTTTCTTAGAAATGTGAATAGGAAAGGACAAAATGTTTAAAAATATGGTCAAAATCATACCCACATAAAAATTGGGGGCCCACCTATTTGCTTAACAAAAATGAGGACCGATTTAGGTATTTTTACCTTTCATCTCAATCCTTTAATTCCAATAATTTTAATGAATCCAAAAGCTCAAGAAAAGGCTGTGCCTCTCCCCAACCTCAATATAAGCATGTGGTACTGGGTTAGGATAAGGGAAAACATCACCAATATCACACAAAGGAAGAGCACGATGATGGCTTTCAACCTTTAACAAAGAGAAAAAAATCTGGAGTTTAAAAAAAATCAAAAATCAATAGAGACTTCTAAATGACTCCTTTAAGATATCACTTTTCAATTTAACAGGACAGATTTATTTGTATGTGGCTCCAATGTTCACAATTGCTCCCCGCACCTTCATACATAGGAATGAATGTCACAGTGGCAAACGGCAGTAATGAACAATCTTACCTGAGGATATGGAAACCTCCCAAGAGCAAGCTGGGAAAGGAAATAATATTTGTCTAGTTATAGATTTGCATGCAGGGCAGATCTCCTTAAGACAGACAAGTGTTAAATTTTAGAATTGCATCTAGCAAATATAAAAAGCTCAAAACCACAAATGCACTAACTAAATTATTACTGTAATTACATTAAGAGTTATATTTAGAATGAACATTTTCAATGGACAATGTTACATCCCTAATAAAATATCCAAATTTTAACAACAAAACATTATCCTTACTGGATGAAAAGTGAACAGATTAGCAAAACAACATACAACATATATGCATAACCCATAGACACAGACAACAGAAGGGGGAGCAGGGACTAGGTAAAGGAGGGGAAATGGGGACATCTGTAATAGCATCAACAACAAAAATAAAGTTAAAAAATAATCAGCATGTAAATAAAAACTGGATGCAGAGTAATATCTTACCAAGTTAGCAAAGTGTTTATTTTAATGAGCATATTTAATGGCATAAAATTATCCTTATGTGGTTTATCTTAGGAATATTCTCAGCTATATGTACATTATTCATATTTATATGTGTGTGACAGTTTCTTCTAAGCAGAGATTCAAAACTATAAAAGGAAACTGTTGGTTTTTCTTCTTGTAAAAGGGAAACACTTAATTGTTCCTACCCCACAGCTCTTAGAGTTTTAATTGCAAGTATACAGAGAGGAAGGGTTGTGGGAAATGGTAAAGTAAATATGAAATAGAAAATTTTGCCATTATTTTAATTTATTTGTTAGTTTTTTCATCCATTTTCTATCCATAGTTAGAAGAAAAGAGCTACTTCTAGTGGGAAAATGGCCAATTGAGACTGAAGTGGGAAGTACAGGTCTAAGTCTAACACTGAAAGTGAATCCTTAGAGCCGCCACAATTCTGCTAGATTTGTAAACTGCTCTGTGTTTCTAGACCAGTCACTTAATTTTGGTCTTTGGATCCTCACCTGTAACAACAAAATGACTGGACTGGTAGTAATAGGATTGATATAAAGTAACAAGATAAAATTTACCAAACATATCATAACTTACTTAAAAAATATAGTGGTAACATTTTGCATAATGTGGCCCATCCTCAGGCCTAAAATCCTTTATATGTATTTGGAACTACTAAGTAGAATCGCTACATCAGGGAACTTGGAAGCTGGAATGGATCTAAGAAAATATCAATCCATTTTACAGATTAGAACCCCAGAGTCCCATTGAAGAAGTCTGAACACAGTTTATCAGAAACCAAGGAACTGACCCCCAAACCTGCAACTTAATCCAGTGTTCTTTCCAGTGTACACTGCTTTTTTAGATCTTGATAAATTGTACATTTATTTCAAAGACACTGACACTGCTAAACATTTTTAAACTCCTCTTTTTGGAATCATGTTTAGAATCTTTTCAAATAACAGGAGAACACTTACCTCATTTTATTAGAATTGCATCTAACAAAACTGGATGATCAAAAAGCTGAGGGGTATAATTTTAAGTCCAATTATAATTACTGCTGTGTGTTTCTAGACCAGTCACTTTTTGGTCTTATATAGGTTTCAGGTGTACAATTGTATAACACATCATTTGTATATTATATTGTGTGTTCACCAACCCAAGTCAAGTCTCCTTCCATCACCATTTATCCCCCTTTTACTCTCTTCTATTTCCCCACAACTCCCTTTCCCTCTGGTGATCAGTCTGTGTCTGAGTTGTGTGGTTTTTATTTTTCTTAAATGTTTTTATTGATTTTAGAGAGAGGAAAGGAGAGGGAGAGATAGAAACATCAATGATGAGAGAGAATCATTGATTGGTTGCCTCCTGCATGCCCCACATTGGGGATTGAGTCTGCAACCCAGGCATGTGCCCTGACCAGGAATCGAACTGTGACCTCCTGGTTCATAGGTTGATGCTCAGTCACTGAGACTGAGCCACGCCAACTGGGATGTGTCTGATGGTGTTTTTTTTGCTTAATCTCTTCACCTTTTTCACCCACCCTGCAACTCCTCAGGCCCTCTGAAAACTGTCAGTCTGTTTTCTGTATCTATGAGTCTATTTCTATTTTGTTTGTTTATTTTGTTCATTAGATTCCACATATAAGTGAAATCATATGGTACTTGCCTTTTTCTGACTGGATTATTTCATATAATATAATACCCTCCAGGTCCATCCATGCTATTGCAAAAAGTAAGATTTCCTTCTTCTTCTTCTTCTTTTTTTTTTTTTTTACAGCCAAGTAGTATTCCATTGTGTAAAGGTACCACAGCTTTTTTTATTCTCTCATCTACTGATGGGCACTTGGGCTGCTTCCAAATCTTGGCTATTGTAAATAGTGCTGCAATGAACATAGGGTGCACCCAACTCCATTTTCAAAGAATAAATATTTTATTCCTTACTAAGGATAGACACAAAGGTACTGAGATTAATTTTCAAAGCTCTAAAACCAATTTGAGCAACAATACTGTTATAGGAACAAACCATATAGCTATGTAAGGTGACTACTTTGAAAGGGCCAACACTCATTTGGATGTGTGTGTGTGTGTGTACACTAGAGGCCCGGTGCACAAAATTTGTGCATGGGGAGTGTCCCTCAGCCCAGCCTGCACCCTCTCCAATCTGGGAACCCTTGGGGGATGTCCAACTGCCGGTTTAGGCCCAATCCCAACTGTCCTCCCCTGCAGGCCTGGTCGCCCCCAATGACCCTCCCCTGCAGGCCTGGACCCCCCAACTGCCCTCCCCTCCTGGCCTGGTTGCCCACAACTGCCCTCCCCTGCTGGCCTGTTCGCCCCCAACTGCCCTCCCCTGCTGGCCTTCTTGTAGTGGCCATCTTGTGGTGGCCATCTTGTGATGACGTCGTGCATGACGCCACCTAGGCTTTTATTATATAGGATACACACATACTAGAATCCCAGTGCACGAATTTGTGCACCTTGAAAGGAACTGTGGGCCACGAGGCTGTGGTGGGCACAAGGGCGGGTCTCAGCCCATCCTCTGTGCCCCCGCCTAGCCCCTCCTTCCATGCGCTGACGGTGCCAGCCCCGTTCACACCCTTTGGCGGTGTGGTGCCAGCAGTGGATGCGAGCAGGGCCGGCGCTGTCAGCAGGTGCGAGCGGCAGCTGCTGCCCCGATCACCCCTCAGGAGCAGGGGGAGGTGGAGAAGCCCTCAGGGGTGATTGGGGCTGGCAGCCACTGCTCATACCTGCTGACGGTGCTGAGCAATCAGGGCCGGTGCCGGGTGCCAGGCACCAGCAGTGGGTGTGAACGGGGCCGGTGCCTGCAGCAGGTGGGAGCGCTGTGCGGGACTGTGGCATGTGGGAGCAAAGAATTTTCAGTAACCGCCAGAGGCTCACCCTGATGACAGGGACTGGTGCCCCGCCTTGGTCTGGCACCCCTGCTCACCTGCTCCACCATCCGGCTGCAGCCGATGCCCACCATGGTCCTTGCACGTCCCCTGGTGGTCGGCACACATCATAGTGACCGGTTGTTAGGTTGTTCCACGGTTCAGTCTATTTTCATATTAGCCTTTTATTATATAGGATATGGAATACCTGATACACTTCATTACCTTGTACTCATTTCTTGTATAGTCAGAGTTCATTGACTTTCAAGATATAAAGTTATAATATGTTTTTATTTGCTGGATATCATTAATCCCTTCAAGTATACATAACAAAAACATCACAAGATGGGGTGAAGGAAAGAGAAAGTGAATGTTAACTAAACTCCTTTTGTGTGATTGTGTTTATTGTGTTTATACTGTTATTTCTTAGGAAGGGGAGGGACTTAGTTCTCCACTGTTCCCACTCCACCCCCATCTAATACAGGCCATTGATTTGCTTTATTTTGTAAAGACAGTGTTACAGGCTAACGAGAGTGTGCCCATCGATTCAGGAGTCACTGTGGTCTACTGTGGTGGTGATGGGTGGAGTAGGCATTTGAACCATTCTGTACTGAACTGACAGGCAGTGACTGCTCATTAAAAGCTGTCACCTATCATTATACTCATCTGTGGACTATGAGTTTTACATATTCTTACATTTGGAGTTAGAAAACTACCAAGAGGAGGGTCTCTCATTTAAAAAGCTGACAGCTTCCTAACTACTGGAAAACATTAGAACATTCTATCTCCAGCCTTCCTTCGGATGCTGAGCTACTTAAAAAATATATTTTTATTGATTTCAGAGAGGAAGGGAGAAGGAGAGAGAAACATCAATGATGAGAGGGAATACTGATTGGCTGTCTCCTTCACACCACCTAATGGGGGTAGAGCCCAAAACCTGGGCATGTGCCCGTGACCGGAATCGAACCTGGGACCCTTCAGTCCACAGGCTGATGCTATATCCACTGAGCCAAACTGACTAGGGCCAGATGCTGTGCCATTTACCTGGGTCCATGTTGAACACTATCATTAGGGTCTATGGAAGAACTCTACCCACTTGGCTTACCAGCAGAAGAAACGTGCCCGCCATACATATGTAAGATTTAAAGTAGCTGGCAGGTGCCAGACTGGCCACTGGTTCTTGCAATTCAAAGAACTAAGCAATAATAAATGGAAGGCTTTGTTTTTTTTTTTTTAAACGAGTAGGATATGGTAAAAATGTAAATTTTTCCCATTTTAACACAAAACCTCAAATTCTCAAGTCACCACTGTTCTATGGAGAGCCATGATACGGCTGACTTGTGTCTACCTGGGCCCCTCTATTGTGATAAGGCAATAAGATGGTATAAGGCAATAAAGATGGCTGATGACATTCATTTACTGTAAGACACCACCATGCAGGAGAACACAGACAATTCAGTGCAGGCTGGTCAGCTGGGAGCCTCTGGGCCCTAGTGGGCCTGGGAATAGGCGGCAGTGCTTGAACTAGTGAACTCGTCATTCCTGGGACTGGCTTTGCTTTGTGTGCACTTTCCTGACATCCATGGAATTTCAGTCCTACTTGTCAATGGCAGTCCTCGAAGACCTTCTAAGACATCTTGCAGGTCTAACCTCTTTTGAGTCAGAGAACAG